GGGGGTTGGACTTCTTTTAGGTGGGAATTGTTGGTCCCGCCTCTCTTAGAAGGGTCGAGTCGCCTACCTGCTGTACCCACTGGTTTGGCTTGGAGGGTCAGACCGATTTAGGGAAGTCTGCTACAAATTAATTCAGGGAAGTCTGATACAAAATAATGCATGTCCGTTTCCACTCTTGGTGACCAACTCCGTCTGGCTATCTATTTGGGTATGATATATTGTGCTCCTTTAGGACTGTTCCTTGTAATCCAAATAATTCCATTCAGAAATGGTTGAGGAATACCTTACCCCTGTCTGATACAATACTCCATTCAAACGAACCACTTCTTGGATAAACATCGCGGTGACTGTTACAACAGTGTATGGGTGTTGGAATGGAATTAAGTTTGCATAGCTCAGACAATTCACTACCATCAATATCACTGTAAACCCATTTGATCGTGATAATCCCTCTATAAAATCCATCGTTACTTTCTCCCAAACATTCTCAGGTAAAGCTAAGGGTTGCAGTAACTTTCCATGTGCCACAGTCAAATATTTGTGTAGTTGGCACACGTCGGATCCGAACACCATGTCCTTTACATTTTTACGCATCCCCACCCAGTATAGCTCTGTCGATAGACGACTGTATATCTTCTGTACCCATGAGTGCTCTCCAATCACGCTGCTATTAAACTCCTACAATAGTTTGAGGATGTATCCCGATGCCATCATTAACGCGAATCGTCCATGATAGAGTTGTTGTCGCCCACTTAATGCGTATTTTGGATGACCGTTCAGATCCTGTAGGAACCGTCCCGATCTTCCTCAACCCTTCATCTTGTTCACCCTTCTGCCTCAGGGCTTCTCAATTTAGAACTACGACTTTTGATAACTATGAAGCACTGACATAGACACGAGGGCACGACACGATACAATACGGGGACACACCATAGATAAGAAAAATATGACACTCCACGTCATGAACACATTTTTATATTTCATTAATTATTAATGTTAAATATTTATATTTTTTCATTATTCTTTAGTAAAAATATCACAACACAAAATTATGCAAGAATAAATTTTAATTTTATAAATTTAATTTATATTATAAAATCTCGTGCTTGTAAAAATTAATTTTTAAAATTAGATATAATATGTTTTCAAAAAACTCATCCAATTTATAATCCAATTTATCTACTAAAAATTAATATATTCTATTATTACCAAGAGGGAATTACTAATGCCCTGCTTTGACAAAACTTGGATGCACCTTCGATAGTCGATTTTGATAAATGTTAGGAGTTTCAACATGATGCGTGATACGACGGTTTCAACTATGATGTATAGTTAAAGCTATACATATATTTATAAATTTCTAATTTTCGTGTCCTATTTTTTCGAAACTGTGTTAAACTCACATCCAATGTGGTGTTGATATGTGTTCTGGACGTGTTTTCGACTGAAAAAAATTCGGGCATATATTTTATAGTGTTGGAGAAGTGTCGGGATGTGTCAGACAAGTGTCGGTGTCCGATACGTGTTCAACACGAGTACGAAACCTTTTTAGAAGTATCGGTGCTACATAGATTGATAATGTTGTCGACCGAGGCTCTTCCATCTTCCTTGATAGTGCTTTTGCGGCTTATTCTTTAATCCTAGGCGGTATTTGTTCTCAAAATTATATCCTGGTAACTTGGATAACCACATTTGATGCTCCTCAGTCATCCTCCTCAGCTCTAACATATACTTCAAGCTCCTTTGATCTATCATGATTATAAAGTGTCTCCCCAACAGATAGGGACACCTCTTCTGAATGACCAAGAGAACAGCTCTCAAGTTTCACCCGTATATTAATTTGAGCCTTGCCATGGTCATGAGCACCTGACTAAAATAGGTAATACCTCTAGTCGTGTATGAGCACCACCCTAATCCATACCCTGACATATCTGCCTCTATTGCAAATGGCTCATTGAAATCTGGAAGTGCTGATACTAGAACTCTGGTCATGCCTCTCTTCAGTTGTTCGAAGGCTTAGAAATTATCTTTCTTCAGTTGTTTCGTCAGTGGCCATGCTTTTGTGTCATGCGCATGAATTTTCGGTAGCACCTGATGAGGCCTAAGAACCCTCTTAACTCCTTCAAGCTTTTTGGCAAGGCCAATCCAAAATAGCTTCGATCTTGGACTGCTACTATACCTATCTCGGTCACCACATGTCGTATGTACTCCACATGTGACTGTACAAAGGAACTTTTTTTTCAAGTTGGCGTACAATTGGTGCTCACTCAACGTCTTCAATATTGTCCTTAGGTGTCCCATATGCCCTGTCTTTGTACGACTGAATCAGGATGTCATAAAAAAATATCAAGATGGACCTTGAGGTAAGACTTAAAAATTATATTCAGGAGAGATTGAAATGTGGCAGGAGCAATGGTAAGACCAAACAACATCACCAAAAACTCTTAATGTCCTTCATAAGTTTTGAACGTTGTCTTATGCATCAGCTTGATCATCCTGATTTGATGGTATTGCGATTTAGATCAATTTTCGAGAAGTTGTTTACTCCATAAAGTTCATCCAACAACTCACTAATTACTTGAAAATGAAACTTGTCCAATATAGTTTCCTTGTTCGAAGTCTTATAGTTCACACAAAATCTCCAGCTATCATCTTTTATCTTCACTAATAGAACTCAAATGGAAAAGGGGCTCACACTGGGTCTGAGAATTCCTGCTTTGAGCAACTTTTGAATCAACTTCTATATCTCATTCTTTTGAATCCGATGATACGTTATGGTCTGACACTAATAGGAGGAAAACATTCCTTTAATGAAATGACATGTTTGTGCTACTTCGGTGACGACAGCCTGCTAGGCGGCTGAAAGATGTTGGAGAACTACTGTAGAAGTTGTTGAACACACATTGGGAACTCCACATAATCTGGCGTCCGGGTCTCCTCTATACTATGCAGCTCCACCAAATAGCCCCACGTTGCTCCCCGTATTGCGTGATTTTAAATGAGCCCATGGTTCTGCATAGGCTAGCATCTCCTTTCAACATCACCTTCCTCCCTATGCCTAAATCTTCATAGTCAAGGATTTCTAATTCACCTTCGTCTCCCAAATCTTTTGTAGCCGTATTATTCTCAGAATCACATAAGTGCTTCCGAAGTCCAACAGAAGGAAGTCATTCGCCACTTGTAGGCATTGTAGTGTCAACACTATTCTCCTGCCAATTCTCTGACTTATCTCAACCTTTCTAGGCCCCATCATGACCCAAACCTTCTAGTATCTACAAGCTTCAACCTCAGTTGGTCCACGACCCAATTTGAGATGAAATTGTGAGTGGACTCAGCCTCACTATCCACCAACACCACCACCACCACCACCACCGATTGCTCCCTTATCTGTCCTCTAACATTCATTGGTGTGATTTGGAGTAAATTCTATTACCGAGTTGAGGACACCTCTGCTACATCCAAATGCAAGTGCGTCTCTTTCTCCATCATTTCTTCCTCTGACTCCTCACCATTTGCCTCCTCCCAATCACGAACTAACCTTCCATTTGTGGCTTGGGGCATATTTTTCATCACATTGGAAACATAATCCTCGTGCTCTCTTATCTTGGACCTCTGCCTTCATGAGGTGCTTAAAATTTATTGCGGGACAGGCCTCCACATTCCTCTCCCTCGGTGCTTCTTTTTGAAACGACACCATTTGGGTCCTCGACGTCATGGTCTTCGAGGTACTCTTATGGAGCATCCCATGGCATCACCTTTCTAAGCCTTCTTCATCTTTTTATTGTCTTCCATCATCTAGGTGAGCTCCACTGTCCCCCTCAAATGGTCGAAGTGCTGCTTGTATGTCAGGTTTTAGGCTCTTCATGAAGATTCTTTCCAATCCTGTTTCAAAAATTTCCCTCAATCACTCCGATAATATTTTGAATCTCTTTCCATATTTCATTACAATTCCCTCCCGAGTCAAAGCATATAATTGCTTGTGTAGGTCTCCTTCTCGAATGGCTCAAAAATATTCCAGTTAGCAATTCATTAATTTCTCTCATGAATGGATCAGATATCTTGCTCCCTCCACTAGAACCATGCAGGGCTTTCTCCTCCAAACATAACCCTGCCACCGTGAGCTTGTCCTCCCCATTTACCCTATTAACTGCGAAATATTGCTTCATCTGATACACCCATCCACAAGCATCTTCCCTTTTGAAGATTGACTTATTCAACTTTCTAACCCTAGCATCACCACCCCAATTTCCTCTTCCTCTGATGTTTCCCCCCATATATCTTGGGTCAAACTTCCTCCTTTGATCATATTATTTCCCCTTTCTGATTTCTCTTATTCCTTCCAAACCCTTTGCATAACCCCTCCACGTTTCGGCCCAAACTCCTGTCGAAAATCTTTAATCCCCCCCTCAGGGTTCTTGATGGTAGATGCTTTCCTCATATTCCTCTCATTTGATTTCTTTCCCTTTTGATTTTGCTAAGGATTCTCCAATCAACCATTGGTTGGTGTTTGCAAATGGAAACGACAACGAGATTTTAGATTGCATCTCGATAAGCCTCTTCAACATCTCCTCCATGCCCTTAAATCGACCCTCAAATCGGTATTCCATGGAAAAAATCTTCTTTCTATGGTTGAGAACCTTTCCTCCATCCTGGATTTCAGTTGCCCTTCTTCTTCTTCCAATCTCCCATCCAAAGCAACTTTTATTTACTACCATCTCTCCAAGATCGTGCTTTGATACCAAAATGATACACACCGAAACCAAAATCAGCTAACAATTGCACTAAATAAGTGGGAGAAATGCAAATTAGGACTAATTTTACTAATTTCCGAGAGAAACAACAAGATACAAGGTTGATCTCAATTCAAGAGGTATATCGTCTCTCCACGTACTTTAGATGTCGCCAGGAACAAGTCTCCAAAGGGAAAAATTGCAGGAGAACATAACATGAAACAAACCCTAGCTAATTAACACCAATAAATACTTCTCAAAAGACATTCAGACTTCCACCCCCACACCCCTCCA